CGCTTAAAGATTCCAGACTCCCTGTAACTAGGCTGCTCGTGGAAATCATCTCCGAATACAAACTGGGCCTTCCTTCTCTTTGTCTCCCTCAGGGCCATTTCGGCCCTTTCTAGCTTCCACCAGGGGAATATGGTAAAAACTAGTTTCCGGTTACTCCAACGTAGACAAATTGTATACGTCAGTAGTCAATCGACTGACTTCTCTTGAAAATCTTAGAAGTGTAAGATTTGTCTTTCAACATCGTCTGAACTCACAGCCAGTTAACTATTATCATATCAAAACAACTGCGGCAAACAGTTATAGTAATGAATTACTAGTCGAAAACTTTAAGTGGAGAAAAGAAGTAGAAACAAAAACGTACGTGAACCAGAAGGCAAGCATGTTTGATCCATCAAGTTGATGTCTGTAGACTCTAAGATCATTCATGGTCATGGAAATGTTGTTATGTGTCCATTCACGCATATGGGAAGGTTTCCTGGAAAAAGAGCAAGGCAAGATTGAAACTTGTGTTAAAAAACCATTAACTACTTGAGTAACTTGGGAGGAGAAAGACCGCCACCTCATACTTTCACACATCCAGCTACTTTGCCACTTCAATTTCTTGGAAAAAGTACAATGAAATAATTCTTTTCCCAGAAACCGAAGCTTAGCAGAGCCCATCTCTGAATTAATATGTCTTCGGGATCCCTTTGCAACATTAAAATAAAACAACATAGTAATTGGTCTGAAACAAATCACATGTAGGCCAACACTAACCGATGACAATCTTTCTTATTTCTTCCTTTTTGATGGTTTTGGTCTTAATAATGCTATGAAATATAGAAACCATAGTTTAATGTTATGAATACATCTCTCATGAAAATTTCAAACAGGGAGTAGTCTGCACCTGCAGGTTGACTAGCAACCAGCTCTACAGGTGCCAGGTGTATGGTAACCTTGATTTGTGCCGACCCTCTCCTTTCTATATTCAGGCCGGTATACCTTTGCTGTCTTCGGGCATTTGTAGAGTTGAAAACCTTATCAAATAAAGTGAATATATTCTGCTCCTTTGTATTTCTCTGTCTCAGTTGACCATTTGATACTAATAAGGATTATACTAAGCCTCGTTGAAGATCGTTCATGTTAGGATGACCTGTACCAGGGCCATTCAATTTTTTATATCAGAATGTTTCTTCACATCAAATTCTAATCCACAATTCCTTTACTTATTTCCATAACAAACAGCCTCTTACACTACAACCCTGCCACTAAGATTTATCTTAGCTATGAAATTCCAAGCTTGACTCCAGTTTTAGCATTGAATTCATTTAACTATACAATAAGTCAACCTTAATTGTGAATCGAATTATATTGGGGTTGTATGCCCCAAAACAGGCGCAGTTAAGAATTAAAGACAGAATTGAACATGATTAACTGCCAAAGTACAGAATTACATCAAAAGCAAACAGTTTCAGGGTCAAAATAGATCAATTCTGGTAGAGATGCTGATAAACCACATAAAACAATTAGTTTGTATAGTGGAGGCTTACCGGTGGAATTAAACGGAGATTTTTGGAGTGGCGATAACCCCTACGGAGGACAGACGAGTTGGAGCAGCCTTGAAAATCAGGGTGTTACATCAATCAAACAAACCTTTGATAACCCACTATACATGGTAGGCCAGAGAGGCATTACCATGCCGATGAAGAGCTCTCCATGCCAAAGCAAGGAACAAAATCCCTACTTATCTTTTTCTCTTTTCTCTGTTCCCCTGCTTTCTTGTCGCCATGATAGTCATCAAACCATCCTATATGTTACGTATTCATCAGTGTCTTGATTCTATATGTTTCTTGATTGCATTCTTACATGTTATACACTACGTTTCTCTCTATTTCCGGTTGCTTGAACCTGTAATTAGTGATTATTTGATCTTTGATTCAACATAGATTAATAATAATAAGATTGCTTAAGACCATAATTACACCATAGAAATTAAGTGCAGCCACATCTTTATGGGATACCCTTCCATTGCTTTATATGTTGGTTCTTTCTTAGGCAATACAGAGACAAGTAAAATTAGAACAGCAAGAACCAACCCAAAAGAAGGAAAAGCAGTCAGATTTGCTTAAGACCATGTTACACATGAGACTGGGTTACAGTGACTTTGACGGTTTCAAGTCATTCAAATTCCCCAACTTGACTGGGGCAAAAAATGGAGGAAAATCTCTTTTAAAAAATACTACACCTCAGCAATAAGCAAGACAAAATAGCGAAAAAAAAAAAAAACAGTTGAAGCAATCCAGCGAGTCAAACTCTACAACTTGAAAGACATTGACACATCACTTAAAGAACAAATTCAAAGAAAAAACTAAATTCTAGAGTTTCCACTGTCCTGCAAAAACACGGGTTCCATTCAACAACTTTTTCATGATTGCCGCACTTTACTCAAGCCATTTAACCAGTGAAGCAAGCAGCTCCCCTTTTATTGTCCATGACCACCAGCATCGCCGTCCGCAATTTTCATCGGCTGGGTTCAGTTTTCTGAGTGGATGGGCTGCGATCATTTCCAGGCAGACTCCATTCAAGTCTTTGATTGGGTGGGTTGCTTTCAAAGCTTCAGTGAGGCGCTTTGTGGGGAGACGTTGACAGCAAAGTAGCATCCGCACCAATTTTCTTTCATTTTTACACTTCTTTTTCTTCAGGAAAAAGAGAGAAAATAGTTATCATACATTTTACCAAAAACAAGAAAATAAAATCCATGAAATTCATATTCTCATATGTGCATAAATAAAAAAACACAAACAAAATAAAGAACAATAGTATGTCAACTATAGTTTAATTGAGTGACTTTTGTAAGATGATGACACATAGAGTTCTAATGCAACGACCAGGAAATTAACAGGAGTTAACACCCTATGCCCTACTGCATTGATTTGTTTTACAATTATTGTGATAAGAACTTGAATATGAACGCAACTGCCAAGGTTATGAACCACATTCCCAGGAAGAACGGCAAGGGAAGATCATAAAAATTTCTCTCCAGTGCGAAACCTGATTGGTGTTCGCAAAAACATGCCGTGTGGTTCATCTTTTATTAGTCTTCTTTTTTGAATCTCGACTAACCCCTGCTTCGGTTCATGGGAGAAGCGTGTCTCTTTCTGGCTCCATGCCCTTTATCCATATACCTAAAAACATTTCCCTTTTGAGATCACAGTCAAATTTGTCCTTATGTTATGACTTAATATTCAATTTGAACTTCAATTATATTGATTTTTCTTCTTTATACTTTTGATTTAATTGATTTCTGAAAAAAAAAAGAAGAAACTGAATAGTAATGGGAAATGAGTATAATTTTGTTTGGCTACACTCCTTTCACACTTCAGAAAAACTTTTCTTCCACAAATTTTGAAAAATTAAGAAATATTTCTCTAATTAAAAGAAGATTATTTTTATTATTATTTTAGATACGTACATATCAAGTGAATTTGGACTTACTATGCTGGAATTAAGTAATGAAGTCAACAGACTTATTATTAAAGAAGAGGTGAGAGAAAGGAAAACAAATAGCATGAACTGCCTTTTGGAATTATTTATTGTTGTTTTTATTGAAATATTGAAATACTAATAGTCTTTTTAAACTAGCGAGGAATGGGAACATTTTAAGTATCATTTTGGTGTGTCAACTTCAGCACCGGAGATCAAAAAGATGATCCAACGGCTGAAAACAAAAGAAAGACCTCAAAAGGAACCTTTGTTGACTTGACCCCGCCGGCGTTGACTGCTAGAGTTCTCAGAAGTTTCCCTATATAGCTCTGTATTTTCTACGCGTCGGCCAAACGTTGGGGACAGCAGTAAAAAATGTATACAATTCTTGTGCACTGTCTTATTATAATTTGGGTTCAGAGGAAAATAACAAAGAAATGAAACAAAATAAAAAATATATATATGTTTCATATGGGGTTTTTCTTTTTCCTTTTGTCAATTAAAAAAAATACTTGTCTATCACAAACACAATTTAAATTTTTCAATATCTTATACAATTTATTAATAATACAATATTTTTCTTTTTTAACAAGTAACAACAAATTATATATAATTTATAATTTTACCATTATGTAACATGATTGATTTATAAAAAATTACATATTAATCACGAATTCACAAAACTAAGTTTGAAAATACTCAATCCAAAAGATAAATCTTTATGAAGGTAAGAGTTGAATATTGAGTATGACTATTGGTAATTTTAACAAGTAGTTCAACAAAAGTTTGAGAATTTCATGAAAGTTTCCCTTGCTATTATTGGTATGTGTTTGTCTTGTTCCGTTTGCAGTTACCACAGAACCAAACATTGAGGGTTCAAATAATGAAATCTGAATAAACAATTTAGTCCATTGGATTTCTTGTCTTGGTTAAAATGCCAGTTAAGAAATCAGGGGGGCATTGAGTGGTAAACTAAGAAAAAGGAAATCAACTTTAAAAATGGGCTCCACAAACCATGTTTTTCCACACGGTATGAGCTTATAAGAAAAAACCATCCAAGTCATACATACATCCAACAACCACCTACGATTTTAGCAGTATGAGCTAATAATCAAAGTCTCTTAATCGCATCCCCTCCCCACCAACGCCTCCTTAATCCGCCACCAAAAATGGCATTCTTTCCGTGCAAACCCCACCACCACCTCCTCCCCTTATTCACTTTCCTTTCTCTCTTCTTCATCTCCAATGCAAGGCTTACTGTCGACCGTTCAGACTTGAAAGCTCTCTCCGCCATCGTCAAGGACTTGGGCATCGACGGTCAACGATTCCCTGCCACAAATCCTTGCAGCGCTGCTGGTGTTTTCTGTGAGAGAAGGCTCGCGGACAACAACACTTATGTTCTCAAAGTCACCAGGCTTGTCTTCAAGTCCCAAGGGCT